AGCGGCGCCCCACCCTCCCCATGGGCTCTGCTCTGTGTGTGATGGGGTTGAGCCATAACCTCCCCATCGGCCCTGCCCTGAGTGTGACAGTGGCGGCGCCCCGACCCCCGATCCACCCTGCTCTGTGTGTGATGGGGCCGTGCCTCAACTCCCCTATCGGCCCTACTCTGTGCGTGACAGGGGGAGCTCCCCAACTCCCTGATGGGCCCTGCTCTGTGCGTGACGGGGGGCAGCGCCCCAACCCCCCCCCCATCGGCCCTACCCTGAGCGTGACTGGGGGGGGCGCCCAACCTCCCGATCCGCCCTGCTCTGTGCATGACGGGGCGGTGCCCCAACTCCCCAATCGGCCCTGCTCTGAGCCTGACCAGGGGCTGCACCTAGGGATTGGGCCTGCCCTCTCCCACCCGGGAGCAGGCCTAAGCCACCAGGTCGTTATCTCCCGAGGGGTCCCAGACTGGGAGAGGGCACAGGCTGGGCTGCAGGACCCCCCCAAGTGCACAAATTTTTGTGCACCAGGCCTTTAGTATATAGATATATGTCTATCTGTCTATATATATAGATATATCCACGCGCACACACACACGCATGCACATGCACACGCACACACTTAGTATTCATTCATTCATTCCACAAATAGCTATTAAGTTCCTACTATATGTCAGGTACTGCTCTGGGCACTGAGAATACATGTGAACAAAAGTTCTGGTGTATAAATTATATGCTATACTAGGAGAGAAGGGCTATGGATAAAAGCAGCTTGACAAGAGAAGGGAAAGGAAGTTCAGATGGGTAGGGGTGGTAATTTTAAATAGCATGAACTACATTTATAGTTTCAGCCACATTTCTGGGCTTCCCATGCTTTCCAGTTATTTTGCTGTACTAGGGCTTTACCCAGGCTTTTTCTTCTGCCCCTGCTTTTCCTTCCTGATCCCACTCTGCTGTGGATTACCCTTTACTGCAGCAGTCGCCAACCTTTCGGACCTCATGGACCACCAGTTGGCAACCACTGCTCCAAAATTTACCTTAAGCCAGTGGCCGCCAACCTTTCAGACCTCACGGACCACCAGTGGTCCGTGGAACACAAGATGGCGACCGCTGCTTTATTGTATAGTCTCATAGCACCTGGTACTTCCTATCTCCCCTGCTAGATAGTAAGGTCCCTGAGAGCACACTGTTAATTAGGTTCATTGTTAACCTAGTGCAGTGTCTGACACAAAGCAAGCATTCAGGTGTTTGTTGAAGGAACGATTGTTCGTTTTACCTTTTCAGATATGTGCATTGTACAGTAGGGAGCAAAGTTAGTGTTCAGTTCTCTCAGGGTAGGTTGAGGGATGGTGTCCCTGTTAAAGGGACACTTGAACCCTTGAAGGGTTAGTAGGAATTTTTCATCACTCAGGAGCAAAGGATTCCAAAAAGGAACAGCATCAGCAAAAAACACTGAGGCACAAAATATGGTTCAGGGACTTTCTGAGTTCAGTTTTGCTGGAGTATTTCCTGATGGAGTTAAAGGAGAAAGAGTGAATCTTCCTGGGACAAAGAAGGCCTTAGAAATAAGGTAACTTGAGCCAAGACCTGAAGGTGGTGAGAGCAGGCTTTGTGAATGTGGTGGTAGAGGGGACCAGAGTGCTGAAACAGAGAGTACTTGGCCTAGTTGAGTAACAGAAAAAAAGAATCAAGTGACAATGATAAGAGTTTGCGAGAATGTCCAAATTGTGTAGGACCTGTATACTATTGTAAAGGCTTTGGCTTTGAGTCTGAGTAAGATGTGAAGGTATGGAAGGTTTTGAGTAGAGAAGTGACACTAACTTACATTTTAAAAAAATTACTGACTGCGACGAAGGGTCTGTGAGAATAGACTGTGTTGAGAATAGACTGTATGGGAGAGGAGCAAGGCAGAAGCAAGTAGATCAGTTTGGATGTAGTAATGATCCAGGGAGAGATCGTGGTGGTCTGGACCGGAATGGTTGCAGTGGAGGTGCTGAGAAATGAAAGGATTTAGGATAAAATCATAGCCTGGAAATTTGAGTAACATTATTTTACCATCACCCGCCCTAGAAAATTCATTAGTTAAGAAATATTACAAAGTTCATCTTTAGTGCAGTTCTAGGTTAAAGGAGAAAATATGGCCTATAGAGAAAAATATAAATGGAAGAAAGTGATATGGGATATTGCAACCACTAAATTGAATTGTCAGTTATAACTATGCATTTCAGAAATACAAATTGTTCTATACAGGAACTATTCAATATCTTGTAAAATGAATTTAACATAAAATAAAACTCCTAGTAATATAGGAAGCATAAATGGGGCTTGGGGAGAGGTATAGTAGGATAATATATCCCATAGTGTGTAATAGGAAAATGTGAACTAAGAATTTCATTCTAATGTACTCTTGTTCATTTGTTTTCTTAAATTTAAATATTTCCCATTCCTATGCATAAGTATCTTTGCATGGTATTTTAAGAATAAAAATTGTAAGAATTGTTCAATAATATCTCAGAATGTTCTTAAATGTATTTAGGTGGTCCCGTGCCAAGAGACATTTATCAGAGAATTAAAAAACTTGAGGATAAAATCCTTGAATTGGAAGGCATCTCTCCTGAGTATTTTCAATCTGTAGTAAGTATCTTTTAAAAATAACTAAATGTTATTTTATTCTAGGATTCTTCATTATATAACAGTTTACTGATTGATCTCCTATATATGAGATAATTAATAATTCAGAGATGAATGAACATAGTTCTATGTAAGAGATTACCTACTTCTTTAAAAATTGTGATTCCAAATATTGTACTATAGGCTCATAATTTTTTAAAGGGGTGCTTTTGTTGTACATTACCCAGTTTCTCAAATTTAAGTCATTTTCATGGCGTGATAAGTGAGCCTGGATAATAGTCCATCCTGTCACTCTGAATTTGCTGTCTTGTAAAACAAAGGCTTCTTCTGAGACCTTGTTCTGTCAGTTATCCCCTGTGTCTCTTTAATTCCTCGCTCTTTACAGACTCCTTCCCTCAGCTCATGTGTGTTTACATTTCTCCCCCATACTAAGCAAACAGGCACCTGGATTTGCCACCCTGCCTTGTTCTTTACGTTAGCACTGGACTTTTTGAAAGACTAGTCTATATTGTCTAATTCTTCAACTCTAGCATTTATTCACTCATTCGTTCTTCTCTCTTTTCCAAGGAAAATAAGAAATAATGTTGGGTTGATAAATATCTTACTTGTCACATCAACATGCTTCAGACAAATGATCCTGAATTCATTGTATTTCCCTCCGTCTTCGGGGGTGATTATGCATAACACCTACCTTTTCTGAGGGCTGGATGTTTTGTGTATGGGTTTTTTTTTTTTAAGTCATGGCATATTAGATAAAACCAAAATGTAAAAGTGAACAAAATTGCTAAGGCTATTAAATTTTTAGTAATATTTTTCTAAAACTTTCTGAAAAGTTATATAAAATAATTCATATTATCATAGAGCAGAAGTCACTGGTGAAATTATGTTAAAATTGTTTTAGGTATAGCATCAACCTTTCCAAAGTCTTAAATTGGGTATTAGAGTGAGGAACAGAAGAGAAGTTTTTCCAGATGAAGAAAAAGCAAAAGTGAGCAGTGAATCCTAAAGATCAAAAATATAGTTTTAGCGATTTACTTCCTTCAATGTAAAATAAGGTTTATTAAAGTACTAAGGGCTAAGGCAATGATTAAATGATATAACATCAGTCAAGTACTTGTCACCTACCTAGCACATGGTAAAACATCAGTAAATATTAGCAGTTATTTTGTTTTAGAAACTACCTATGAAGTAGCTGTATAAATGTGGATAAGTCACATAATTCCTTTAGCCTTCACTTGTCCAATTTAAGATTTGTTGGTTGTACTACATAATTACAGAGGTCTTTACACTTTTAGAATTATTTTTTGAATGTATCTTTCTAGGAAACGTCATAGAGATTTTATGCCTTTTCCTACAGCAATCTACCATAAGTTTTCCCATTCTAATTGCCTTCATTATGTAATCTCTAGGCAGGTTATTCTTTTAGTTCAATTCTTGTTAATTATTGTTAATAATAGAGCTGATCTTACAAGAGAGTTGCATAGTGTTAGATGCCTTGGGTGAGACCTTGCCCCATCATTTATCTCTTCTCTCTGATTCTGATTCTATTACATAACTTAGTTAACAAAAGAACAAGTCCTAATCTTTTTTTTTTTTTTTGATCTAATATATACAGGATAGAATGTTCAGGGTATTTGGTTAAATAAGTGAAAGTAGTTGGGTTATAGAGGACCTTAAATGCTATACCCAGAAGTTTAAAGTATCTAAAGTTTAAATGCTTTTGAAAGCATTTGAACATGAAAATGACTTGTTCAAGTACTATTTAGAAGATTTTTCTAATATTGTCTTGGGAGGTAAATGAAAAGGGAGACTAAGAATAAGACAATATTAGGTGTGAAGTGAGATCCTGCGCTAAGGACATGAGAATGAGAATAGGAAAGATTACGCAGGAATCTTTTACGCAGTAGAAAAGAGAAGTTGACAAATATTGATAATTAATATGTGGAGAGACAAAGAGCAAGAGTGAGTCCAGTTTCTGGTTGGGAAAATGATACTACCATTGATAGAAATAAGAAAATCTGAAGGGGAGCATATTTGGGGGGGATGTGAATTTAAAGTCATAACAGGATATATAGCTAAAAATATCAGGTAAGCCTTCCAAGATGTAGGACTTAGATTTGCCACAACTGGAAGAGCCTGTGTGAAAGAGGTAGTTAAAACACAGAATGGGTAAGAACACTGAGGCTGTCAGAGGCTGAGGTCTGAAACTTGGTGACTACCTAACTTGAGGGCAGGAAGCATTATAAAAGTAATGTGATTAAAACTAGTGCTTTTAAAGAAGATCCCCCAGTCTATTAAATAATACGTATTTGATTAGAAGGATCACTTCTGGATTATTATTGGAAACTAGAGGCCTGATGCACGAAATTCATGCAAGAGTAGGCCTTTCTTACACCGGCTGCTGGCACCAGCTTCCCTCTGGCATCTGGGACCCAGGCTTCCCTCCAGCTGCAGGCAGCCACCTAGGACCCGGGCTTCCCTTGCAGCCCGGCTTCATCCAGAAGGTCATCCAGAAGGACGTCTGGTCTAATTACCATATTATGTTTTTATTATTATAGCTGACATATCCAAATTAATAGTGAGCTACAGGGAAGCACAAAATACTGAAAGGTTTAAACATTCAGATTGACTTTTCCCCCAAGACTTATGAATATATATGGCATAGGCCCCAAGCCCAAAGGGAAAAAAAGATTTTATACTCACCCTCCTAACCAGAATGAATATGCCATCTCTAGGAGCCCCACTCCTCTCTTGGTATAGAACCAGTTCTAGGATTGTCCTCACACATGAGAGTTGAACACACCCCATAGAGAGCATAGCACATAATTTGCCACTCTTACTGTCCATGCTGGGAGTACACACATGGCAGTGGCATGATTTCACATGTCCCTTAAAAGTGTACAGAAAGACTACAAAGGCAGCTCAGTCTTCTAGCTTCTAAAGTTAGAAAGTACGGGAAAGTTGAGCTCAAAGATTGATGCACAGCACATGAAATGGGAAAAATTATCAGGAAAAAAGATATAAATTATATTGGGTTTATAAAACAAAATTAGACCATGTAAAGTTCTGTTCATTTATGAAACAGACAAAAAACTCTTTTAAAAAGTTAATATATATATGCAGGAATTACCACAAAGATTAATATTTGTTGCTCCTTTAATGCGATCATTCTAAACATATTTACCCTTCATATTCAACATGGAAAGATATGAATGTGGTAATGTTTTTAAAAATTTGAAGGCATCACTCAACAGACCATTTAAAGAATACAATGCTTATGATTATTTCCAAACTATTGCTTACTGCTTTTAAATTATGACCCCTGAAAACAGTAAGTATAACATGCTTCACAAGTATATTTCTATAGCACTTTGTTCATTTGATAACACTTATCACTTATAATTACATGTTTACACATCTATTTTTCACACTGTATTTTGAATCTCTGGAGGACGGGAATTGTCTTGTTCATTTTTAACACAAAATGTAGTATGCATTGAATAAATGTGTGAATGAATGGATAGGACTTGGCTGATAGTTAATTATTGAACTTTTGAAGGTGTGTTAACTTTGTTCCACAGCACTGACCAGGCGGAATCCTAATTCCGCTTTGTGATGCGAACTCCCGGTTCTCAGGGAAGTGTCGGCATAGGGGAGTGCTGAGGGCCAAGTCAACTTCTTGCACACAGGCCATGCACGGTGGGCCCGAAGCATGAAGTGAACAACTGGATCCAGCTGGAAAATTAAATTGCAAACATTTTGGAGGGCCTTGAAGGTCACAGTAACCTATTTGCAATTCCAATGTCACTGAGAAGAAAACACCTGTCATTTAGTGTGAGTTAGAGAAAGATTGGAGTCAAGGGAAGTAGTTTAGGAAACATCATTGTCCACACAAGGGAGAGATGAAGGTCTGAATTAGGGCAGTGGGACTAGAAGGGAAGAAACATTGAAGACACTGCCCTGTAAAATCAGTAGTCCTTAACCACTGATTGCAGGTAAGGAAGGGTCAGAGAGGAGACTGACTTACCGCTGAGTTTCCTTAAAGCCTGGGTTCCACAGACCTGTGTGTGTGTGTGACGTTTTAAAAAATTATGTCTGTCCAGCTATTTAGTATGCTCTCAAATACTTCTCTTAGGTACCAAGACTTGTTTAAAATTTCCACCTTGTGCCTAAAAACAGTACATTTTAAAGCTAGTCCAGTGTATTCACAATGTATGTATTTCTAAGTGTTCTACTTGTCAAAATATTCTGCTCAGATTTAAGATAAGTCCCCAAAGACTACATTTTACTGTTTTAAGTGATTGAACCACTGATGTCCTCATTTTCCTCATTCTGATACTTTTCACTTTAGTTTCCATGATAATAATCTGATTGCTCAATGACATGGAAATTAGCAATACTTTATAGATTAAGCTGTTAGGAAAACAAGGGAGAGTATATTTTCATCTGACGGGTAAAATGCCACCTCTTGGGAGGGTAAGAGACTGAGCAGTGACCAAGTTAAACATTAAGTCCTTGCCCAGAGGCCCCACAGAGGTATTTAGCTCAGTTTGGCAAAGGAAGGAGCATGTTTATAGAAGCAGTTTCCCCCCATATTTAATAATTCTAACACTTGAATGATTTCCCACTTATAACTGCTGCTAAGAGGCACACATCAATGTTCTTTGAAACAGCTTTTGACACAAAGTAAAAATGTGACTTTTTACCTTCCCTCTGATCTCAGTGGTCAGAAATGTTCATGAGTAAAATTTATCTTCTACATTGACAGTTTCTTTTTCAAATGTACTGATACACTAATTTACCTTTTGAAAGCTGTGGTATTAGCTAAATTATGATTGTCAAAGAATTGGGCTCACCCTGGCCAGTCACGGATGCAGACTGAAGGGTCCCAGGTTCAATTCCAGTCAAGGGCATATGCCTGGCTTGCAGATTTGATCCCCAGTTGGGGGGAGATGGGAGGTGCAGGAGGCAGCCAATCAGTGATTTTTCTCTCATCATTGATGTTTCTATCTCTCTCTTCCTTTCCCTTCCTCTCTGAAATCAATAAAGATATATTTTTTTAAAAAAATTGCCCAAACCCAGTGGTTGGCAAACTGCGGCCCCTTGAGTCAAGGGTCCCAGGTTCGATTCTAGTCCAGGGCATGTACCTTGGTTGTGGGCACATCCCCAGTAGGGAGTGTGCAGAAGGCAGCTGATGGATGTTTCTCATCGATGTTTCTAACTCTATCCCTCTCCCTTCCTCTCTGTAAAAAATGAATAAAATATATTTTAAAAAATAATAATTGGGCTCTTCCCCTGTGAGCTCTGCTTAGCGTTGGCTTTTTCCTCAGGCAGATGGCAAGATGACTACAGCACATTCTCCTGTCCAGGTGCAGTGGTATCCAGAAGTGAGGAAGTTTTTTCAGAAGTTCTCCCCCTAATCCCCAGCAGACCCCTCCTTAGTCATTGGCCATTATTGGGCCCGTGCCCATCACGGACAAGACCAGAGGTCCGGGATCTGCATTCCCCAGAGTCACACAGAGGAGTAGTGATAGGTACTCACACAACCAGTGTCCCCTTACAGTCAGTGTATATGTGTGTGTGTTCACCCCTTGGCCTGGTATTTCACATTCTGTTTTCCTGTATATTGCTGCTGCCTTTGTTCAGTATCCTGGGTTGGAAAGGCTACAAAAAAGGAAACTAAGGAAATTCCCAGAGCACCTCTTTCTACAAACACTCAGCCTCATTAGAAGCTGAGAATTAATGGGAAAGTGTGTATAGACAGGTACAAGCTTGTTGCTGTAATGTTACTACTGTATACTTTCAGTATCTTTGGAGGGTAACTTCCAAAACACAAGAAAGTGTATGTTGGCTGCAGATAGTGCTTGGTGAGTTTGTGGGCTTTGTTTCTGCCAGTTACTCTATAATGGAAAATTGTTTGTTTCTTCAGTACTCTATAAAAGAAAATTGTTTAGATTTTTTAAGTATTGGTTATTTAATATTTTTTTACCTTTAATCTAGAACTTTTCTGGCAAAAGAAGAAAAGTTCAACCACCTCAAGTAAGTTATTGCATTTTCATTTTAGCTTCTGAAATAGTTTGATTAGTTTTATACCTTTCTTAAAAGTTTCTACAATGGTTGCTTTTTAGGTCATAGTTTGGAACTCAGAACTAAAAAAGGGCAGCATAAATTAATGTATTTGAATCAGAGAAGTAATTTTATTTCAAGGGTGTAGGATAAGTGATATGGGCCTAATAAACATAAAAGTCTGTATTCAGCTGTTAATAGTAGAAAGATGTATCAGTTACAAAATGCTGAAAAATAGTAAATGCTTAAGTACTGTGAATTAAGTCTCACCCCTCCCCCTTCTGAAGATGCCACTCATTAGCAGCCTCTAAGTCAAAGAAGAATGTTTGCCAGAGGCTGACTTCAGCCTAGCCTTGTCCACAGTACTTATGTGTGAACTAGGGGCTGGGTGCACAAAATTCGTACATGGGGGTGTCCCTTAGCTCAGCCTGCGCCCTCTTGTAATCCAGGACCCCTTGGGTGGGGTCGCTAGGCCTGGCTGGCGATCAGGGCTTTCCTTCCCCCAGCTGCTGGCAGCTGCCCCCCCTCCCACCCCCCGCTGCCACTGCTTGCCATCTGTGCGACGCTGGACCCTCTCCCCCACCACCGGTCGCCTCCCTTGGCAACAGGCGTGGGGTGTGATCGCTTGACTGGCCTGGCCTTCACTCTGAAGGGCAATTGTGGGGCAATAGCGGGGCTCCCCAACCAATCGCATCGCACCCACCTTGGTTGGCCCGGTGCCAGTGCGTGTCATAGCATGGTCGTCTGGACAGTCATTCTGCTGTTTGGTCGATTTGCATATTATGCTTTTATTATTATAGATTAGTTTATTCATAATTTGTAAGGTTTTGCTACCCTTCAATGGTGGTGATGTAAATTTAAAGTTGGGGAAAACTAAAAAATTTTTAGGTTTGTTTATTTTTTAAGAGTAGCATGTTACTTTTTTTTTATTGTACAATTTTGAGTAATTTTTAAGAGCATCCATTTTTTCCAGGAGAGGTAGTTGATTGCAGTTGATCCATAAAAAGAGAATTTCTAGGTATTTTAAGCACTTAAGCTAATCCTAAACTTTAATTTTTTTCCCTACTGATTATTAATATAATCAGTAGTTTTTAAAAAAGTTTTTGTAATCCTTTCAAAGTATAAAAGGTCCAGAAGAGCTTTCATTAGGAAAGAGAACGAAAAAATAAGAAGAAAGAATTTTAAGCCTTATTATTGTATACCTTAAAATTCATGATAGAGTCAACATATATGGTTCAATGTTAAAATTATTCTCTAAGAGAAAAAGAGACATTTACCATGCTTTTGGATATTTTAAATATTTATAGTTCATTTATCACTTTATCTGCATTAAGATACTTCAGAGTCTTATTCAGCAATTTGTGTTCTTATTGTTTACAGCAGAACTATTCACTGGCGGAGCTTGATGAGAAAATTAGTGCTCTCAAACAAGCCCTGCTTCGAAAATCAAGAGAAGCAGACTCCATGGCAACTCACCACCTCCCATGAAAAACTCATCTCATCTTCGTCATTTTACTTTTTTATATACTTGTGTGTTACTTACACTGCAATTAATTAAATGGATATATATTTATCAATGTAGACATCCTCTGAAGTCTGGGTTTATTTTCACACAAGTCCAGTTTTCAGCAAGTAATCTTACAATATCCCAATGAATTATGTAATAGTTAATGCATTGAACATAGCATTGTCAGAATTTATTTCCTTCTGTTTTAAAGGAGGTATTTTGGAAATTAAGTAACTTAATTTGAAAATATATCTTTGTGTGAGTTGTGTGTATGTCCCACAGAAAGATGTGTTTTGAATAGTGATATTTAAAAGCCATATTTATATTTATAACATTGATGTTAACCAGTTTATTAGTTTAAATTAGTACTTTGTAATAATAGGCATTCAACAAAAAATTAGTTGACCAAAATGAATTTTAAATGAATGCATACTTTTTTTTCAAATATCAATTTTAATGTAAATAAACAATATATTCCACCTTTATTCCCTTATTGATTGATTGTATGACCTTGAGTAAGTTATTAATCTCTCTTTGTGCCTTGATTTTCTTACCTATAAAATGGGAGTGGTAATAATAGAGCCTGTTTGTAATGAAGAACAGGTGAAATCATGCATGTACAACTTTGAAACTGGCCCAAGCAAAGTACTCAATAAATGTTAGCTGTTATTGTTTAAAAACTACTTAAAACCAAGTATGTCTTTGGTACGTTGCAAAATATTACAAATTATAGTCCCTCTTCCTTGAGAGCCTCAGTACCCCAGTTAATGTTAGGTGGTACATATATTTCCATAGTTGCAAAGTAAACACTTAAAAGATGCAGCTACAATCAAGGAGCAGATGTTTAAATCAAGAATTGTTTGGTTGTAAGAATCAGAAGTCTACCTAAAGTAGTTTGAAAAAGGGGAGTTGTTAAAAAATACACTTAATTGCAAGGAAGTACAGGTGAATGTTGTGTCTGGAAAGTCATTAGCAGTTTATCTCTGTGTCTCTAGCTGCCTTTGGCTGTTTCTTTATCTAGTTCTGTCTCTGTCCTCTACCCTCCTTGTTTTCTACTCTTCCTTTATCTCCCTCTTCCTCATTCTTTTTCTCTTACACATAATCATCTTTGCATCTGCTTTATTCTCTATGAATTGGTTTCTCTGAAGGCCTCTTCCTTTCTGCTTCCCCACTCAGGTGACATGTTAGTCCTGTCTCCATAGCCTTGGCTTGCTCATGCCTTGCCCCTGCCATGGTGCAGACTCTGAACCAAGTACTATAGAATCTCACAACTGACCTCTGCTGATTACCTGTCTGAATCTGTTAGGGCTCTCAGTCAGTTGTGGACAGGATGGTGGGGCAGGAACCTCTAAGACTGCAGTGTGCACACACTCTTGCACAACCATTGTGGAAACCTTGAAAACGGAGTCACCTTGTAAAAATGGGGTTTCCGAATCATTCTCAAGAAGTGATTGTGTTCTAGGTCAATACCACTGACTCTTACCACTATACTTCTCTGTAGAGGAAACTCATTCTACAAGATAGTTTTGCTTAAAGTGCTCCAGTATTACAGGTACAGCTACAAATGAATAATGAGTAATCACTACCCTGCCCCTCAGTCTCCATCTGGTCCTGGTCATCACCATCCTGCCAGAATGACCCCTCTGTGTTTTCTGGCACACTTTATTACCATCACATCACCAGTGAAGCAGGGAAACCATGAATAAAAAGAATCGCTTAGAAAAAGAAGCTGACAGAGGTGGGCAAGAAACCTAGAAACCAGGATGATACGCAGGTCACTAGTCTGCCCCTAAATGAATGCCATGAGATGTTTCTTGACTCCCTTGGCAGTCGACAAGTTCCTAAGTCATGTCTGGCCGTCCTCGGATCTGGCCATCAGAGGGACTTCCTTTTTGCAGGCCCGCTCCTGTAAAGGACATTAGAGTCCTCTTTTCTACACTTCAGCGAATTTTGTCTGGTGCCAGCATCCTTTCCCCACTTGAGTCAGAGCCTCCAGAGGAGTTGGTACAGGTGCCTGTTCAAGAGTAAATTTCTGGTGATAGCTACTTCAGTGGCTTTCAATCATTGTCTTTCTTGAGTACATAGTTGACTGAAAGGCATATCAGGAATTTCTGTGGGAGTAAGCTTACTCCCTGAATCACCGGGCTACCTAATGACCACCCTTCAGGATTTTTGTTATTCCGCTGTTCTTAGACCCATTGTTCTTAATGGCCCCGTCCTCAAGAGAATAAAGGAGAAAAAGTGACTGGAAAGAGGTTTGCAAGACAGGAAGCGCTTCCCTCTGGTCCGTCCCTAAAAAGTCCTGCCCTCCACAGGTTACATTCCAATCTAGGGACGTGTTTTACTAGGAGTTGGGGGTGGGTGTGTGGTGGGTAGTTGATAGGCATCAGCATGTTTATGCTGTGGAAAAGAGCTGGGCTTCCTAAACTAGCTACTGCTGGATACTTCCTTTTCAATTGCTAGGCTCCTGAGCCCTGAGCTTTTCCAAATTCACAAGTGTTACCTGGACTTCGTTTTCAACAATCTCAGCAGAAAAGATTTCTCTTGATGAAACATAAATATGTAATTTCCTGTTTTTCCCTGTCTGCTTTTAACCAGACAACCTGGTACAGAAAACCCTCTCTGCCACTGAATTTTAATGATCTCTAATACATTCCTACATTTCAACATTTGACAAAAGCTTTGCCTTTAGTGACATGTGGTTTGTATCCTAAGAGATTTTAGACAATTGTTTAGTTATTTTGCCTTTTCTTACCTCCATACTACCAGTTTCCCACGGGATGGGGAAGTACGGTTCTTCTGGTGATAACTGTCAGAATTTTAGTAGGCACTGTCACCCCTGTCATTACCTCATCCCTCTGCTTCGACTCCACAGCTAGTTGTACATTTTCACTCAGAGGAGGTTACTAGTTCATTCCTAGCTCAAAAAACTAAAATTTGGTTCAATGGACTTGGATGGTATCTCTATGGTTAATGGTTTTCAGCTTAAGCCATAGGGAAAATAAGTTATTTCTGTTTTAGGGATTTCTTGTTTTCAAGAAACAGAAACCCAGTTCTAACTTCAGTAAATGGGATTGGTTAAAAAAAAAAAAATGTGGATAATTCAAACTGCAGGAATTTCAGTCAATTTCGTCACCTTCTGCCCATCACTGGATCATGTTGTCCCGATTATACACTCTTCACTTCATTTTAGTTTGGCTTCTCTGATGATGTCTTCTTTCCTGCTTCGTTGCCATTTAGCTTTGCTCTGGAGTTCGGCTCCATGGCGCTGCTAGCTCTGACCTGGCTCTGGCTCCAGGGTTCCGTGTTTGTTTCTTATGATTCAAAATCTGGAAAAAGAGGAATTTGTATTCTTAACTTGGGTCAACTGTCCACCCCTGGACCAGTTAATTATCTGAGGCTTGAGTGTTAGGATTTTTAAGAACACTTGCCCAGCCCTTTGTGGAATGAGGGGCAATTCCAACAAAGAAAGCATGAACTGGGAACTCTGACCTTGTGAGCTAGACTGATGAACAGTTGGTCTTTATAAACTTATGATTCTTTAACCATGGAGATACCATCCAGGTCCATTGGACAAAATTTTAGTTTTTTGAGCAGCTCTACGTATAAGAATTGATATTTAATGATTTTTAATCATTCCTAATATTGTTCAAGAGATAAAGAGAAAGTTTACTTTTTAAAAATAGAACAAAAATTCTATTTTTCAATTCCTATTTAGGTCCATTGGACCCTTTCATAACTCTAAGATACATTATGGGATCTTAGTGATATAATTTTTTCTACATCTTTTTAAATATTTTGCTATTTTATCATCTAAGGAATTATTTCATCATCACTAATCAGTTATTCCCAAATGGAACAATGATAGAATCACCTAAAAGAGGAACATAAGAGTAAAATTGTCACTATTGCATAATCCTTTAGTTTTCATATAGCATTGTCCAAAGTATTCCATCATCTTTCAAGAAGATATAAGTCTGGAGAGACAGCACCTGTAAAGACTCAATGAATACAGTTGAGAGTTTATATTTTTTCATTTTAGCCATAATGGTAAATAGAAGAAAGTTAGTAAGAATTTTCACACTTATTAAAGGAATCACAGGTGAGTGCAGAGAGACAAATAACCATACTCTAGATCTAATGATATTGATGAAATTAATCAGTTAAGCAAAATCGGAGACCATGACTCTTTAGGTGCATATTCTAAATGAGTTTTCTCAAACTGAAGAAAAGATGAATGAACCATATATTTCTAAGGACAACAAGGAAGTACAATATTCTCATCCCCTTTTATTCAACAGGAAGGGCTTCATCATGCAATATTTATGAGAAGCCAGACCATCTAATTTTGCTAAATGAACAACATGGCAGTAGTCTTTCACCTTTACTGGTGTTTATCCACCAAAATCTATTGATATAGTTCCTAAGGTGAAACATTCTGAAGACAGTTTTCTATGCAAAGGTGATTAAAAGGAAATAGGTGTTATAGAAATGAAAAAAAAAATGGACTGATCATTCTCATTGACATTTATAAATCCAAAAATTAAAATGTTTTTTTAATCACTACCCTTCTTCAACAAATCATGTCATCAAAGTTTTTAAAAAGTATTGCATTTTGGTGATACAAGTGCAAGAAGAAAGAGAAGTACTGGTAATGATAAGCTGGAACCTAATAGAAATATATTTGAAATCTGGAGTCACTATTTAGAAGATGAGTATGTACCAAATTCTTGCATAACAGGCGATGTTACATTCAACCAACATTGCCCATTTCAAGTATATACAACTTCAAAGTCTAAAAAGTATAAAATAAAAATGGTTTACTATGCTTAAATTCTTATTACAGTTTTTAATTAAACTATCTCCTCATACTTCTGTTAAGTTAGTCATAAAATTACTTAAATATATATATTTTAAAGTTTTTTAAACTTATTGGACTCAGTTGGTAAATGATGACTTTTTCCTGATATATTAAGAGTTGATATGTTTGGGGACCCTTTTCCCCCTCCCTACCTGGGAGTCCATTCTGTGGGACTCTTCCCCCTCCCTACGTGGGAATCTGTACTTGTTCTTCAATAAATCTCCATCTTTGCTATAAAAAAAGAGAAAGAGTTGATATGTTTTAATATCTTAAATATAGATAAAATCATTTTGAAAGGTTTATTTTTTAAAATGGTTTCAAGAATTTAAAGACATGTTAGATTACTTCCCCACATACTTCCTCTAGGAAACTTTAGTCAAGAGAAATGAATAAAACTGAGAAAATCCTTGGATTACAAAATATTCACATTTCTTCTTTTTAAAAACCCTAAATGTTTAAGTAGCTGGCAGAGTGCTTTCTCTATGTAAAAAGTTGGGATACTTTCAAAAATGACCCATCCTTATAGGACAAAATACTGCAAGTGTTCTTACTTATTTCTTATAACTTGTAGCTCTTGGTAAGCACATAACTGTCTGAGAAATTTGATTTATTATAAGTACTACTAGAGGCCCAGTGCACAAAATTTGTGC